AAATATGACACTTCTATTTAGTCTATTAAAAACATGGAACTTACCAGTGACTCGCTGCAAAAGATACCTAAGCCAAGTGTTCCCACTACCAGGATACGATGCAAGAGCTATTGCGAATGGCAGGGGCGGCGTCCGCCTATGCAATCCCTTACACCAATGTCACTTGAATAATCCATACTATCGTCGTTAAAAGCTCGCTTTGCATTATTTATTATCACAATTAAAGTAATACAAAAATAAAACAATGTAACACCAACGAGCATAAATGAAACAACTTTTTGCAACATTTGAAACATGCTCCTGAACAAAGACATTGGAGAAATATGGATTATTTAAAACAAATTTAAGTTGACAAAAAATATCACGTTTATGATATTTTTGTATGTTGGTCAGTTAATTGATATAATAATTTATTTACAAATTCAGTTTCGAGAGCAAAAATGTATATAATTTTTGAAAAAATGTAATTTGACAATAATTTTGAAGGTAACTGAACTGATAACGTTAGGCAAAGAGTATAATAAGTATACTATAGACGTTAGGTCATAGATATCCCACATTCTTATGGCAGTCGTTTGACATTGACAGAAGTTTTAAGGGTTGCCAGCGATCAAAAAAATTCCTAATTTCTTCCTAAAGACGTCAATGCTGCAATTCCAAGCAATTGATCTGCAACGTATTACCTTTGTTCTCGTAGTAACTTATTACTGTTTAAATAAATAAATCCAAACACATTAACACATTAACCTACATATCTTAATATCATGCGTGACATTTTTACGGAATTTCGAAATTATGACAATGGTAACATTAATCAGTGCAGCTGCCATAAGCACGGACTTCTTTACATGGACAGGTTGCAAACATTGGTAGTCTGTGCCTATTTGACTTTCACCATTTTGGCGAAGGCCACTGCATGGTAGTGAGGATTGATGCCGTATGAAGCATAAACTGTAATTTCCAAGTAATGACCTAGACATTTATTACACACTTGTCAAAACTCCACTGTTCTTTGTAAATTAAATTTTAAATTGTAAGCAATAAAAATCATAAGGAAAGAATCCATGCTATACAAAATATATAATATAAAAAACATTAAAATAAAAACATAAAATGAAGTGGAATATATATTGACGTCTAAACATTAAAGAGCAATTTTCTTTTTTAATTTCTTACTTCGCATTATTTCTTACAATAGCGTTTGGTTTTCCGTGAGTTTCACCTTCAAAGCTATATTTGTATCGATCATTTTGTTGAATCAATGATTTTAGTATATACCCTTGTTTTCACCATATTTATCTGTCTGTACATATCACCGGTAAATGGATCGAAGTCTTTATATTTCTTGTTGCGTTTGTACAGGCCATCTTTATTCGATAGCGCGCAATTCATGTCATCCTAGTAGCGGAAAATTGAATAAATTAAAAAAAATCTTACAAATACCTATGTGAGTTTATGTAAATGTCTGAATATGAAGCCAATGCCTTAACGGTTATGTCCAAATTATACGTACAATAATCTCAAGATGTATTATAATTCAGGTTTTATTAAACTTTAATGAAAAGAAAAATAAAAATGACTCTAAAATAGACCTTAGAACCTCTCACCTCAGTAACAGTGATATTTAAAAAAATCAGTATTCCTTGAAGTGTATTTCTAGTATCACTCAATAACGCCTCATAAAAAACTATGTACACCGGTCCAGGGAATTTTGTTAGCCACAGATTATGAAAAATTTCCCATTTTCTCAATTGTAATGAAACAAAAGGAACCCAAACTGAAATTAAAGTAACTAATAATACAATATACTAGCGGACCCGACAGACGTTGTCCTGTCTACACGTCTTTAATTTGAATTATTGATGGTAGCGCCGTCTGTCGGATCCAATGTAAAACATTCCAATATCAACAACTACTAATAAATTAAAAATTAATTAAACAAACATTGTCCAGCGGACAAAATTGTGAATCTAAACCATTCCCAGATCCCCTTGAACACACACAAAAAATTTCATCAAAATCGGTCCAGTCGTTTGAGAGAAGTTCAGTGACATACACACTCACACAAGAATTATATATATAAAGATATTTACATAAAAATAAAATAAAATATGATCTCAGGATAGATAAAAAAGACACATGATTTCATATCTATCGTTTCCTTTATACTTCTATATACCTATGGTTCAAATAATTGCTGTCTTTTTATTTTACGAAAATAAAATATAAAATTGTTTGGTATCAAATACTCCTCAATTTAAATTTAGTAAATTTGTATGTCTCCGGAATATAGATTTAAAAACTGGAATTTATGGTTTGCAGTGTAGGTCAACTAAGGTTCTACTACAGATCTGAAAACTAACAGTACAATAATATTGTTAGTTTGATACCATTGGAGACACGACGTGGACTTGCAAGATCTCCAAGTTGACGATTGACAAGAGATGATGCAGGATAGGCAGCCTTCCCTATCATCGGTTGCTGCGCCAGCAGTAAAGAGAAAGAAAGAACAGAAAAACTAACTACAAACTTAATAAAGTTGGCATCGTTCAATTTAGGTCTTCCTCTACCCTTGTAGCCATCCACATTCAATCTCATTACTTTTTTGCTTATATCATCATCATCCCTCCGCATAACATGTCCAAATCACACTAATCTTTTACCTTACCTTTTCTCCTTGGAGCCCGTACCTTCATATCGAAAGCTGATTTCGGAGCAATGCCTGTGTGCCCGCTATTGATTCTATTAAATTCTGCCTGAAGTAAAAATTATAAGTGAACTTCTTGTATATAAGCATCGGAATCAGCAAGCAAGATCCAAGTGGTGACGATGCGCGGTTTTGTGAAAAATTATACATTTAATTTTGATCTTGTACCGCGCACATTTCCGCCCGGATCCTCGCGCTGAGTAAACTTGCTCTAATTCACATAAAAAAACAAATATTATCTAACTTTTCACAATATTCCTAAGTAAACTGTTAGAAAGTTGAGTTCGTAATTTAATTACGAAAAAATCTACACGAAGTTTATAACGAGTCTTACAGAAATTTAAATAGATTGCAAAAAAGTATACCAATATAGCGTCTCTTGGATTCCTGATTAATAAAATAGCTGATTCGAATTTATTAACATTTTTAGGTGGGTATTTATGAGTTTTAACAACAAGTACTGAGCCATCAGATATATTTTCAGCGGGAAATCCTTGTTTACGTAGACTATAATCCAAGGATACCGAACCCGTAACAATTCCTGCAAGTTTAAAAAAAAACTTTGTATGCATAATTTAAGATAAAAAGCAATGTTGAGCAATGTACAAACAAAATAACTCTTCTACTGGTTCAGTCTAATACATAGAACTTACCAGTGACTTGTTGCAAAAGATACCTAAGCCAAGTGTTCCCACTGCCAGGATAAGACGCTAGTGCTATTGCGAAGGGCAGGGGCGGCGTCCGCCAATGCAATTCCTTGCACCAATTTACACTTGTATGGCCCGTACTATTCTTGTGGTTAGAAACTTGCTTCGAGTTATTACTTAATATAATTAAAGTAATGAAAAAATATAATGCGACAATAGCCGCTAAAAATAAAACTAATTTTCGTAGCGTTTTTATCTTGGTTTTGAACATGGGAATTTTTGGTGAATAAATTGTAAACAAAATGTAAAGTAACTTAATATCAAAATACAACTTTTGTTGGTCAGTTTATTGAAGTAATAATTTTAGTGTCAAATTAGAGTTATAAATAATAAAATATGTACCTAAATTTGTACTTGTTATAGCAAAGAAGTACCGATTTTAAAGAAATTTGAATTAAATGAAAATTCATACAAATTTTGATACTTGAAGGTTAAAACATAGATAAGTATTTATGGATTTTAGTGCTACTAGAAAAGTACAATTATTATAATCCTACCCAAACATCCAAGCATTTCCAATTCGTTTTAAATTGTCAGAAATTTTCCATCGGTTTCATTTTTATTCTAAAATCCTTGCTTTGTTAAACTTGGGAAAAAATTTCTAATTTGCTACACACTGTACCATAGTGTATGGTTTTCGCTAGGGATTTCGCCATTCTGTCAATCAGTTAACTGTCAATGTTTGTTTGTCAATTTGACATTTGAATTTGACTGAACCATACGGACAGGTCAAATTTTGCAAGAAATTTTGTTTTGATTATTGTTTTAAGATTTGGCCTGAGTTATTAAATTAAGTTATGGCATTAAGAGATCGTGAAGAACCGGCTATGTTAGCCTATGAGAGTTTTTTGAAAAAGGACTACATGTCCGCTTTTCAACATTTAAACGAATTAGAAGGTCTCGTCACGAATACAAGTCTCATTAAAAGAGTGCAGCAAAACAAAGCCGTAGTGGAATTTTATGGATCCGATTTAAAGGATATTGAGAAGTTTAAATGTACGATGTCTCTTTTAATTGACTTAACTTTTCCAGATGTGGAAATGAAGGAGTTAAACTTACCTTTTACTCTGTATAATTATGCAGTACTTCTTTATCATTCACGACATTATTACCAGTGCACCGTTGTCTTAGAAAAACTGTTGATGACGAAAAACATCAAAGATATTAAATTGTATCAACAAATTGTGCTTTTACTTATGGAGGCTACTTTATGTAGACGCACATATGACAAAACATTGGAAGTTGCCAAAACATATGGAGAACCAGTAAAATCTAACAATGAAATTGTACCATTATTTGAAAGGCTTATAAGCAGAGCACAAGTGTTTGTAGGTCAAAAAATAAAACTGAAACCAGATTGTATTGAGAATATTTTCATTATAGCCCAGCAACAATATTTAAATGGAGATTTAAAAGAGTCAGCAAATACACTAGGACTTTATAAGTCACTTAAGTTTAATTATGACGTTAAAACTCAAGGTGAAGACATTTGGGCAGCTATTAACAATAATCTTGGTGTTATTTACCTGTCAATTAAAAAACCATTTTTGGCAGCAAAATATTTTCAACATGCTGTGAAAGAGCATTTCAAAGCAATGGAAAGTGAGGACAGGGAGAGGTTAATTGATTGCAAAGACAGACCTATATATGTCTATAATTTGGGGCTGGCATTGCTTGCAGCTAATAATGCAGAAGGTGCATTTGAATGTTTGGTGGAAGCTGCACGTCATTATCCCAATAATCCTAGGATTTGGTTAAGATTAGCTGAGTGTTGTGTCAAAAAATGTTGCAATGAAGAAGCACAACAATTTACAGTGAAAAAACTGGGTAGCGGACCGCATACAAGAATCCTATTGGCAAAAGAAAAGCCAGAAAAATATTCAACATCTGGAGAATCCTTTGCAATACCATCACTTTCTTTGGAATTTGCCGCCCTATGTTTAAAGAATGCAATATCACTACTCCCCAATCAAGAAGTACCATCAGATATAACAGCACCATTATTTCAAGCACCACCAGGTCCACCGATAAATTGGAAACAGTGTTGTGAATTAAAGAACTCGATACTTGTTCTTCAAAGCTATGTGTACTTAAACTTGCAAGATCCACAGTCAGCTTCAATTACAGCCAATGAATTATTAAGTCAACCAGATGTATCAAACAGTCACAAAGCCTGGGCCCATATATATGCAGCTGAAGCACTAATAAACTTGGACAAAATAACAGAAGCTGTAGAACATTTGCACCCCCCAATGATACATGAGCTTGTGTCAGTCCTTCCGTACCAAATGCGAGATTTGATTGCTGTTTCTGTATGGGCAAAAGCAGCTGTTTGTCACATATTAAGAGGGGATCTAATAACAGCTAGGAAGATATTGTTACAGATAAACTCGCCACGTGTGTTGCCGTTGCAAATGTATTTGGAGATTTGTACTGGTAACATTGAAAATTGTCACAGTATTTTAAGAAAACTTAGATTTAGTAATTTAACGCAATAACTATTGTATATGATATCCAAAATAATGATAATATTGTTAATTGTACAGCGTCAAAATGAACTAAATGTTTCTAAGTTTGATATTTTTCATAATAAACTGTTTTGAACAAAGCATGTCTTGTATTTTTTTATTCATTTCAAAACTACTCTAAATAATAGCAGCACTATGTTTAATCCCACAGGGAGATGACAGATTGTCAAACAAAAGTCAATGTCAGATAATCTATCAAACTATTCAACTTCTGTTCTGTCACCTTCAACCGAATTAAAGTTTTGATAAAAGTTTATTGCAAGGTCAATCAAGGTTTTTAGTATCTCTTTTTAGTATTAAGTAAACTGAAACCGTTAGAACTTTCTGATAATAGATATCAAAGTTAAATTTTTGGAATTTTAATCGTATCTTGCTAACCATAACTTTGTTTGGAGTATTTTCCCAAATATTTGTTAAAAATACGTTGTACTGTAATAAAGCGGATGCTAGTTTTTTCGAAACCTGTGGGTAGAACGATATATTTTTTTAGTAAACTAAAGTCTTTTTGGTATAATAAAATTTGCAAAATGGTGCCTACAATTCCTACTGTTAGACTTAACAGTGGTTATGAAATGCCTGTAGTTGGACTTGGAACATATGCGGTAAGATATTTGAAGAAAGGGGTAAACAGTAATAATGAATGAATATGTACTTTGATATTAATCCATAGTCTCTGCCTATCCCTCTGGGATATGGGCGTTATTTGTGTTATATAATATAAAGGTAGAAATCTCATTATCAGCCCATCTTCCTGACCTAATGATGGAATTATTTCCAAGTCATAATAGTATTAATTTTTCTTAGCGTAAAGCGGATCCAGGACAGTTCCGGCAGGCAGTAGAGTGTGCTCTGGATGCTGGATACAGGCATATTGATACAGCATCTATTTATAACAATGAAGAAGAAGTTGGTGAAGCTATTAATAATAAAATAAAACAAGGTGTTGTTAAAAGGGAGGATCTTTTTGTAACAACTAAGGTTTGTTGATATAATTTTGTTTATTGAACTACATACTTGTATCATTAAATTGTTTGTATATATTTAAATACATCTGTTTTCAGCTATGGAATGATAGTCATGCAGAAAAAGATGTGGTACCAGCTCTTAAGGAATCTCTGGAAAGACTTAAACTGAAATATGTAGACTTGTATTTAATTCATTGGCCAGTGTCTGTTAATGTATGTATCTGTAACACATGACATAAAATTATTTTACTTTACTAATCTTATTGGAATTAATTCTAGCTGTGAAATATAATTCACCAGTATGTTGGTATTCTGAAACACATTCATAAATATTTTGGATTGGCAATAAATCTTTGTTTCTTAAAAAAAACTACTTAGGACTGTTGGGATAATATTTATAGCATTATTTTTTTATTTCATAAATAGAACAAGGGTGAAGATGAAAATATAGATCATTCGGAGACATGGAGAGGTATGGAACAGATTGTAGAGCTTGGTCTGGCCCGGACTATTGGTGTGTCAAATTTTAATGAACAGCAGTTGAGTAAATTACTTGAAACGGTTAAGATTAAACCTGCTGTCAACCAGTTTGAGGTGAACTTTACATGTATTTATTATAGTTTAAGTAATTAATTTATTATTTGACTAGCTGTCACCCGCAACTACATCCGCGCGGAATTAAAAAAAAAGTTAATAAGTAGCCTAAGTTTTCTTTCAAACTATTTTCTACATCTATGCCAAATTTCAGCAAGATCTGTTCAGCCATTCCGGAGATACCTTCGAACAAACATCCATCCATCTAAACATTCGCAATTATAATATTAGTAAGATTCATTAAGGTGACTGGAGTTGTTTTTTATTTATTTTAAATTTTTATATGTTTTATGATCACACAGAGCCAGAAAGTTGTTATTCAAAAAGATTTTTATGAGAAGCTGTGGGTTTCCACCACAGTTACATTGACACATGTTTTCCTCTCTTTTATTATCTTAGAACAAATAGAGACAACAACATGCTCACTGCAGTCATACTAACATTTTGTGTTTTATTACTTTTAGATAAATCCGACCTTCACAGCGCACAATTTGGTAGATTACTGCAAAAAGATGTCTATTATTCCAGTAGCTTATACACCACTTGGTCTTATTTCTGAGGCCCGACCGGAGTTTAAAGGTGTTGATGTTATCAAAACTGATCCAAAGTTGGGTGAAATTGCGGAAAAATATAACAAGAGTCGTGCTCAGATCGGATTGCGTTATTTGGTTAGTATATTTTTAATGTTATTTTTAATAATCTTATAATATTTTAGCTAATTCATGGTATTTCTAATTAATTGTTTTAATACTATTGCTTCAAATTTAGCCATTGCAAGGCCTAAACTATTGTTTCTAGAGCCATTTATCAATTTTTGTAGTTCACACAGAGATAATCATCAATTCAACTTTTAGGTTATTACTTATAACTATAAGGTCAATTATCAAATAATTTTATGCTCTGTTAGTAGTAACACAGAAGTAGTTCTGAAATAAATAATTTTAAACAACGGTTATTACAAAAGCAGATGAATTATTAAGTTACTAGCTGTAGCCCAAGACTCCGTTCGAGCGGAATTAAAAAAAACTTGATATGTTGTTTATGTGGTCTTCCAGACTATGTTCTACATTTAATGCCAAATATCCATCCACTCATCTTAACTATTGCATTCATAATATTAGTAAGCTTTACTTGTTTTAGGTACAACGCGGTATTCCGGTATTGCCAAAGTCGTTTACGAAATCGAGAATCGAAGAGAACTTGAACATATTCGATTTCCAATTGACAGATGAGGAGATGAAGATAGTTGATGGTTACAATTTAAACCATAGATGTGTGCCCGGACTTGCTTTTAAGAAATACAAGAATTTCCCATTTTAGACAATACCCAATTAATTAGCGTTTATTCAACTAAAACGACAAGTAAGTAAATGACACATGTCATTTTCCCCTTCTAGTCTTTTGACTGAGTAGTATAATATTGAAGATATCGTCCTCTCTCTAGTAGACCTTTTTAGCCGTTTTTTTTTCAGAGGGGAACGCTCTATGCATACTCCGGTAGTTATGTGGGATTCTCTTCTGGATGGGAAGCATACCCACTAAACTCCTCTGTTCCTCCAACGCATCGGGACGGGACCACGGGTACGCTTTCGCTCTTGTCCGCGACCCCGTCTGCGTCAACTGCCGAGGCAGCTCCCTCTCTGGGGGAGGCAGCCCTCAGTCAAAGGTGATTGACTCCCCAACGTCCATCACCCAGGGCTATTGTGTAGCCTCTGTTTGGCATAGGGCGTAATGGCCGGGCCTCACCGCGGTGATGGTGGCCATTCTCCATCCTATGGCCACCTTCCCTATTTTGACGATTGCCTTGGCAGCCGCAGCGGGGCACTTTATAATGGAGAGCCGCCACCCCAGAAGTTGTGCCTGATGAGGCCCACTTTCACCGCGCTGGGGGAGCAGTCCCCAGCCGTCGCCATCTTCTCCTCACGGGTCACCGTCTCATCCAGGCCGGTGACCCTGAGGTTGACCAGTTTGGACGGGCGGGCGACATCCGCCCAGTCCCCGATAGCTAAAAGTAAGCTCGGAGGCTAGGCGGTCTGCGGTCTCTTCTGGGGTTTCCCCCTCACTTCCATTAGTTTGGATCCGGTGATATTTGTCCGGATCCTAACCGTCTCCAGGCCAAAGTCACTGAGCTTGATGTAGGCCTTAGCCTTAGCTAAGACCTCCGAGTACTTGGCCTTCCGCTGTTGTGATCGTAGCCTCCTTTTAAGGGTGAGGCTTACGGCTCCAGGGCGCTCTTCAGCACCTCCTCTAAGCCCGGCTGGGCCTGGGGTGCCTCCCAGGGGGAGTCGCAGCCGCGTTTGTTCGCTTTTGCGACTCCGAGTCTGCTCAAGCTCTTTCGCTAGTCGAGCGTTGTTCGCGCGGAGTTTGCACAGTTCTTCACCGGCGCCATGCTGCTCCCTGCTTGGCAGTGTCCTCGTTGCGGTCGAGCTTGCCAGTCGATAGGAAGACCGGTATGTAGGGTCGGAGTCGCCCGATTCGCTCTCCAACTCCTTCGCCAGGTGTTCCTTTGCAGCCTTCAGGAAAGCATGCTTGCCTTCATTGCCTCTTACGTGGCCTCTGGCCGCCGTGGACAATTTGTTTGCCACGACTGCTCGTGCCTCCTCGCCGGACGACTCCTTTGGGGCCCTCTTTTTCTTATTTTCCCCTCAGGTGAACCTCAGGGCCACCTTTGGCGTCGGCTCAGCCTTTTTGGCGTGGCTTCATAGCCGCCGCGCAGAGGCTCCCTCCTCGGCACCGCTGGTGCTTTCGTCACTGGAGCAGGATGCGCTAAGGACGATCACTCGCTCCTTTCCCTTTCTGTTTCCTTCACTCTCCGCGTCTCTCATCCTCCTTCTCTCCCTCTCTTTGTTTTTTAGTTTTGTTTAAGTCTTCCATATTGAATCCCACGAGAAGGGTCGATTTAAACTCCACCCCCGAGTGACGCCCGTTCTGAATAGTGGGGCTACTTACTACAGAGGTCGCCAGGTAGGTTAACGACTTCACTGTTGCGTTTTTATAGTTTTCCTTTCTCGCGGGCCGGCCGGTTAAGGCAAGCTCTCCGCTTCTGTGGTTCCAACGTACTCCATGACGCCGGTTTGATGGAGATCGTTGAAGGAACCACAGAGTTACGGGTATGCCTAGAGAGGTCGGTGTGCCCGCTCTAGTTTTGGACGGATACTACCCCACCCCTCCCCTAAAAATGACTAAAAACTAATTTTCATGGCAAGGGCGGCCTTATCGCTATAAGTGATCTCTTCCACGAAACCCATATGGTTATGGTTACCTATGTGGTGTCTCATAGCGACACCAATGTTCATTAGAAACTCCTGAGTTGAAAATATCTCCCAATAAAAAGATGGTGGTCATCTTCAAGATTATATTACCTAGTCGATAGACTAGAGAATGAGTTGTCTTTTACTTACTTGTCATTTTAGTTGAATAAAATGACACTTGTCAACTCATGTTCAAATTAACGTAAAAATATTTAAATTGGACCAAGTTTTTATGGGATTAATTTAATATTTTTTGGATATTGTTTAACTCATTCAATGCTACAATGCGGGTTTACTCTAGTAGGTGTGAATTATAGCGGCAATGAATGTGTTAATTTTAGATATAAGGAGCCAAGCTACATTTCCTATTCATATTATTCATGTGATAGTTTAAATACGTAATTTGGTTTATTATTATGGTGTAAAACATCTTTTGTGATCATGTTGTATAGTTTCTTAAGTAATTGAAACAAAGTTAAGCTCAAAATATATTTTGTAAAAATGTTGCGTATGAATAAATCTTTTTTTTTATCATTTTTTTTTTATTTCTAAACCAAACTTTAGGTTTATTTCATTTCGTCATCATCATGATTTTTTCAGCATGAATTTTCTTAATAAAACACATTTTTTTGTTCGATAATTTTATTTCAATGAAAACATAACATAATTATATAAATTTAATAACATTCAAAGCGCAAGTTATATAAAAAATATATACGAGAAATATTCAGAATGGAATGTAAGTCAAGATCTCAATTGTACATGTCTATTATAATAATATTTAATAAAAAAAAATTTGGTTTTTATTATTGGATATTGCCAAAAACATTTTTAGCAAAAAATTATTTTTAAATTATTAAAATATGAAGCGTTTTCTTATTGGAATAACAAAAGAGATCTTAACTGGTAACTGCAAAATTATAAAAATGCATATAAAATCATGATTATAAATACATAATTGTACAAAATGCATCTGATTATATTATTAACTGTCAAAAAATTAAATGTATATAAACGGAATGAAACTGTAAAATATATAAATAAAATCTGCAATTGTTGACTATTAAATTAAAACAGTAACAAAAACACAGCCTAAAAGTATCAAATTCACTTAATTATTTACATGGCAATGGTAAAACTTGAATCATAAACCAACTAAGTTATGTGTAGTGTTTGATATCGCCGTTGTCAATGATGCAGCCAGCTGATTGGCGGATACTTTGACAGTTATTTGACAATTCAATATGGCGCCTATAGTTCCAGATAAGAATGTCAGAAAATAAAAATTAATTAAAAATTCTGTGTAAATATGTGATTTTAGTTATAAAAAAATTGTTCAACAAAATAAAAATCATCAAAGTCAACATTGTTTATGGTTATACCAAAATAAACGCAATTAAAATGTAACAGATAAAAAATAATTAAAAAAAATACTTATCATCACAATCATAAATAAATTAGCCCCAGTGAATTACCAGAATATGAACAGTAAAAAAAATCGTCAATTCAATAAAGTTCACATACTAATGTATGAGTCTTACAAAAATATACTTTTGATATAACACTGATTTACTTATACTAAATACAAAAGCCTACAAATACAAGTTTCTAGCACAGCTCACGCATATTTGTACATCTGACTATAAGTTTCAACTGCCGAAATACAATAACATTGCCATCCCTTTCATACTATTTTAAATAAAAAGAGACAACAATATAATCGTAAATGTTCCGGTAATAAAAACTCAAAAGCTAGGATCAACTTCATACAAAAACTACAAAAACATCGTTATAAACGGATTACACTATTCGCATAATTAGACGCTGTAAGCATAAAAGAAAATCTTTGACAGTTTCTAATGACAGCTGTCAAATGTCAAACATTTTGACAGCTGTCAGTCATAAAAATACATCGAAATAATAGACCAACCGTATTGTTTATCACTTCCATACATAATTAAAGACATCCATGATGCTATCGTATATAGTAAATGTGATTGCAACATCAAATACAACTCTACTGAGTCGCGGTACTGTACCTTTGTAGAAGGCCAATGGTCCTTCGTGCTTCCATGTTTTTATGAAGCAATCCCACGTGCTTCTGTACTTGGCCGCTTCTAAACCTTGCATTCTTGTTTTAACTACGTCGATTGGTGTGTTACCGAACACTGATGCAGCGCCTAGAGATAAAAACATTAAATTAGGAATTTCAAAGAACGAAAATACTTATAATTGGTTTCTAAACTAAATTCCCTTTACAAAATATCTTTAACAAAACAGAGATAGCAATATGTTTTATACAGAGATGTCTCAGAAACCAACTGTTACTTCTCTTATTCATAACCGTTGGATGATTTCTGAGCACTCAAAAAGATGATGTCAGGAAGAGTCATATTTTTCAGTTGAGACTACTCAAACAACTCCTTTTTGTTATTTTTCTTCTAAGTTTATGTTTAAGTTGATTATCGATAAAACACGAATAAAATGACATTTTCTAAGAATGATTTATGGCCCCCGAAACCCCCTTTATACTAAATTTTATGAAAATCGTTGGAGCCGATTCCAAGATTCCAATTATATATATGTACAAGAATTGCTCATTTAAAGATATAAGATATGTTGAAAGTCTACCTGCGACACCACCGAACAATCCTACAATGTATTTGGGTACAGGTTTGTCCCTATCACCACCCTTGTACCAATCCCTCAACGACTCCATCACAAAGAACCTGATCGCTTGATTACTGCCTTGCTTCATTATGGTGGCTGTAACACCCTTGTACACTCCACCGATACCTGAAAACGATTATAAAAAGTAGAACATAGTCTATGCCAAAATTATGGTTTTGTCAAGATAGTATATTTAGTATACGAAATTTTATACTAATTTCAAACTAGCCAGTGATCGCCAAATGAACTGGCTTCAAAAAGAAGGAGGTTTTCATTTCGCCTGAATTTCTTCTATGTTACCACATAACTTCGCTTCTGGTGCTCTGAGATTAATAATTCTTTTCTTAATCGAAAGGTAGTGCTAACAGGTTGGTCCCATTTTTTATTAATAAAAATGGTAATGCATTTCTTCTGCATATTCACTTTAACTGTGTCAAATTTTACGTACGAATCTAAGATCCGAATCTCGATTTTTTTTAAAAAGGTATACAAAGTTTTTGTTTCACGTATTGCGATAAAAAAAATCGATTTAATAGAATTTTAATTGCTGTGATGCTAAAATTAAGAGTAACAGAGTATATTTTTCGTGCTCAATGTAATTCCCGGTCGACGCCATTCGTAAACAGCTAGCAATACTTTGACGTAGCAATCGAGCGTTTATATTTTTATAAGACTAATATAAATACAGCTACGAATCTACAGTCACGAAATAAATATAAAAATAACCGCGCTGATGCAACCACAAGCTAGTGATAGATAAATTTGTCTAATATAACTCAACGTAAGCTGATTACCTTGAAATTTCTTTCGATTTCAAAATCCATAGACAAATAACTACGGTTTAACTCGATAACATCTAATATGATGCTTACCGTAGGTTTCTAACACCAAAATGTCTTTATAAAACATATCATCCCTTTCATTATATTTGACAAAACAGAGATAATATATGATGAGATGCTATATGATTTTTTTATTAAGAGCCCTTCCTTGAGTTACCTACCAATCCTTACAAACCTAAATGTGTTCATGACTCACCTTCTTCCCTCACGATCATCTTAACTCCATGGAAGAATCCTTTAAACCTTGGCTTCTCCATACGCATGTCATTAATAAACTTGACTTTGACTGTCTCCATGGGTGTGACAGCAAACACCGCTTCAGCAACACCAGCTGCGAGGCCGCAGGCCAACTTGCCCGTGGTAGTAAGTGTACCATTGTCAGTCACCATGTACAGCTTCGCCTGTTCGAATACACCGAATCTGTAAAAGATTGAACATGGTTCAAATTCTTATATCAGTTACCAAAATTTTTTGTTTCGTATATCATAAGGTGACAAAGGTTGACTATGGTCTAGTCACCCCTAACTTAGGGTGGTCTCCGAGGTTCTCAGTGGGGAGGTAAGGCTGATGATGATGAAGGTGACAAACAAGAAAGCAGCCACCTGAATTCGCTGTAACAGCTAACCTATAATCGATGGAGATGGAGACTATGCTCCTCCGTCAAAACCACTTCACCTTCCCATCGTTTCTTTATAAGAAAAGGAAAGGGGACTAAAATTAGAGCTTCGACACACACTAATCAGACGAAACGAGCTCACTATACGTCCCCACGTTATGTAGTTAGGAGTGATTAGGCCATAGTCAACCACGTTGGCGCAGTGGGGGATGGTTGACTTCACACATATCTTTGCATTTCTTCTCAGATATGTGCAGGTTGCATCACGATGTTTTCCTTCACCGTAAGAACGTCGGATAAATGTACATATGTAAATCGGAAATCGAAAGACACATTGGTATATGGCGGGATTCGAACCCAGGACCTGCAGATTGCAAGTCAAGGGCTTGACTGAGCCACCGAGGCTCAGTATATTTGTATCGAAGTAGTACATTTGGTAATTAATACACAAACTAAGTAAATGTTGACAAGGAAAATAGTAAATAATATAGTTTCCTTCATCATGTTCTAACAATGTTACATAGCTAAATAATTTGAATACAATAAAATAAAGAATAAATAACATTAATTATTCATTTATATACGCGGAATACAAATTAAAATTTTAAGTTTTTGTAATTTTGCAATTTCATACTAATTATTACTATAGTGTGTTGGTAATACGACAGTTTAAAACAACACAGCTCTGAATATAATAAAAAAGTAGGTTAAAACGTAAATACGGAAAGTAGAAAACCGCTTAATACACTTTTTGTTTTAAAAGAATGTATATTTTCCTGTTCGTTGTAACAAATTGTGTCAAATCATGTTTCGTAATTAACGCGTACTATAGAAATCGCAATAATATACATCGTACATATAAAAGTATCGCATTTCAAACAAAACCTTCTAAAAAAAAATTAATTGTGATTATTGGGTGGCATTGTAAAATAACTTTTCACCTTTATAAAATGAAGCCACTTATTTTTTTGCAAATGTTTGTACGTGTATAAAGCATACAAAATCGAATATTCAATAGCATTAGGTAATAATCGGTTAAAATTGCAAATTTGTCCGTATTGTCATTGAATGCTATCGTGTTATGACATAACAGACCTCTGTTATCGCGTGTGCCATTTCGTAGTGTCGTGAAGTGAACTTAGTACATCTAAGTACTTATTAAGAAAGAACACATATTTTTCAATTGCCCGGAACTCAAGGTTCATTTATACGACCTGCTCCCTACTAATACTCCTGGAACCATTAATATCCCATTCTTGCTAACTATGGTCCATACTCCCTTGGTAAAGGTCCTTTTTAAGTTTTTGTCTACTAATAATATTAAACTTTAATTTCCCATGTCCTTAATATTATTCTATGTATTTAGATTACTAACAACTGTTTTGTTCTTTTTCAGAGTCGCAACCGTCACCATCAACCGATCATTTGTCAAACAGATCTGTACTCCGTCTACCTTTTTGTTCTTTGCTATTTAATCTTTCTTTTTACGTTTTCAATTACCTTCAACCTTGACGTTGGCGAAATCATCGAAATTAAACGATGGGGTCTACTAGTAATAAAAAGAAGAAGAAGTACTTATTATATATTTAGTAAGAAAGTAGTAGAAAATTATGCATGTTTCTAATATTATAAATGCTAATGTTTGGATGGATGGATGTTTGTTTGAAGGTATCACCAAAACGGCTGTATGAATCTCGCTGAAATTTGCCATAGATGTGGAACATAGTCTGGAAGAACAGATTGCCTATTAGTTATGTTTTTTGTCGACGCGGACATGGAGTTGGGGGCGATAGCTAGTAATTAAATACAAATCGGAAATGTAGTTCACATATGTTCGATTTACCGTTTATAAATAGAACGTTCATTTAATTACCTTTATAAGGATTCTCTTAATAGAGCTTGTTATTAATTCAGAAACTAGCATTGGAATTACTGCAATCAGTAATTCTATTTGGTATGATTCCTTTAACCCTACTTACTAGATAAGTTGTAGATAAGTATAAGATGGTATGAATCGAAGGGGCAATCTCCTTTAATTTATTTATTAATATTTTAATTAATATTTAGCCTGGTCATTACCTCCTTCTGTGTCTGATATACAATTAAAACTAGGTCAATGTAACTTTTTATTTACGCGCAAACTATTAAGTTTTGGAATCTCTAAATTTAAAACAGTTTTGGAATTTAGAGCGGCTTCCCTAGAAATCACAAGGCACAGGTTTCTATTTAAAACTTACTAATATTGTAAATGCGAATGCGATCGATGGATGTGTGTTTGTTAGAAGTAATGTCAAAAACAGCTTTATGGATATCTATCTCTATCTAATGATTTATTTTTAATTCCTTACGAACGGACGACAGCTAGTATTTACTTATGTTAAAAAATCAGGATAATTGTCACGAGTGATTGTGAAATTGGAGCAACGCGTTCGAAACACAAATAAAGAAGCGGTGACGTCATAGGTTTGTTTACACGTAATGTTATGTAAGCGATCGTGGCATGTGTCGGCGTTGTCAGGCAAGTTGTGCGGTACGATATCGTGTGTCGTACAGAACGATTGTAATTGTGTCCGGCGCCTCCGGTCTTAATAACTAGGGATGTACTGGTATTTTTCCATCGATATCGATATAAATTTATCGATAGAATTAGTGACTCAAATTGGACTAGTTATGATTAACTTGCCGTTATAAAAGGGGGGAGACTGCACAGTATGTACTTGAATCTGAATTCAGTTATCGTAAACTAATATTTAATTTACCTGACTGCAGATTTTGGTATGGATCCATACAGCAATACGCTAAGACCTCTATAGAGGCCGAAAAAGCCATGACCTTTCACAGTTTTCTTGACACAATCTATTATACCTGTGTACTTTTTGGTGCCACCTGAAACAAAGAATACAGGGTGTTAAATTATTTAACACTAGCAATTTACCTCCTGTTTAGACCTGAAATACTTAGCTACTATATACCTTACTAAATAGCCTATGTTACTTTTTCATAATGGCAAAAGAATTTTTATAATCAGTCTTGTAGTTTTTGAGTCCATTTGTTACATACAAAGTAATCATTCCGTAGACTACTTAAAATGATAGAGTTGCATATTGAATGTAGCTTATCTCAATATCAACATAACTGACAGGAAAGAGTATTTATGTTAAACAACAAATAAAGTATTTCTAAAGATATATATCTTTAAGGCTCGGCGTAAACGGGCAACTAATCACAGCGAGTCGCTTGCAGCAATCGCTTCAGACCACATCTGTGTGCCTATCCTAACAAAAAGCATGAAACATTGTGTGAACTATTTGCCGCTGGCCACAAGTGGCTTTAGACTTAGGCCCGTCTGCGTTGAGCCTAAGACTGTTATCTGCTTTTCATCTTAATATCATATGAATACCTTATCTTATCTTAGTAATATTTAAAAATGTGAATGTTTGGATGGACAGATGTTTCTTAGAAGGTATTTCCAGAATGGCTCAACGGATTCTCAATATAATTTAGCATGACTAGAAAATTATCTGGAAGAACACAGGTTATTTATCAAGTTTTTTTTTAATTCCGTGCGGCCATAATTTCAAAGGACAGCTAACATATAACTATATTATAGTTTAATTTGTATCTATTCAAACAAAGTTTTAGTGAACTAAACATCTCAGTCAACATACATCTGTTTGAGTTTCTTTTTTTATACCAAAAGGTGGTAAACGAGCGAGCAGCCACCTGAAATCGCTGAAAAACCGAAATGACTGTTGCCCATAGATATACGCAATTGCATATGCGTTGCCTACCTTTAATCGACGGAGGAGAGGATGCACAGAAAAAAAATATCTTCCCTTTCCATGCATCCTCTCATCCGGAAAGTCCACTTACAAAAAGAGGACTAAATTAGGCCTCCAGGACGCACACCCATCAGACTGTACTTGGAATTGCTTCCACTACACTCCTGTCTTCTGTGTGGTCATGGTATTTCACCGGGCAAGCCAGACCGATTCGTGCGAGGATGTTAAAGCAGGCTCTACCACTGTTCTATTGCTGTATAACTTGTATATCAACAGTATTATGTCATGTCTCATCCTCTTTGATAAAATAAAGACATGTTTTTCTATTGGAGTTACTTTTAAGTTAGCATTAAGTATGTGTTAAGTATATGTTAAGTAGAGTTATATTTTGATCATATAACAGAAGTCAATGTTTCACAATGTTTGATTTATGTCAAGTTATTTGTACTAATATGACAACTTTTGGGTCTGTCTAATAAGATAAACTAACAAAAATAAAGTTGTTTTTTTAGCCATTTTGAATGTGGCTAGTATATTCTAGTATGATATGTAGGAAATTATCTTTTTTAGCCAGAGAAGAATTCCGAAAATTATTAAATTGGTATAAGAATTTAATGCTGAGCCTTCATATTTCCACCTGAAGGTCTTTCCCCACCATCAATGTTTTGTAACATAGTAACATTGAATTGGACATATTGAGCACTTAAAAGGCCAACAACTCAACTTCCTATCAGATATTATGTAGAAATTATAAGATTCTAACATTGTCTGTTGCCTGTATTTAGCTCTGAATGACACCTAAGGTAAGTTCACTACATATGGAGGTAAGTCGGATAACTAGTCTCTGTATCCCTGCATTATTTCACTTCCCGTCAATATGTGAAAAAGTGTTTTATGAGATCAAATGGGAAAGTAAATCAAGGATTCACAATTTCAAGACTTGTAGCAGCAGGGATCCATGTCAATAATTTTTTTAAGAATCTCTAGCTATAGATAACTGATCTATGGCTTTATTGTGAAATGTATTAAATTATGGAAAACTGAATACAAGCTAACTTGTATATAATTTATGATAAAAGTGATGGCTCAATCTAATGCAGTATGGTATCAGATAAGATTATTGTGGCTGTGATAATAAGACCATGATATGATTTCATATACAGAAGATGTTTATCGGAGAACTTGAGTACATCTGATCAAACCTCTGATGTTTTGTAATATTAGGTAAAAAAACTAACAAATACATGCTTAAAATTAACCTTTAAACTTTTACAGAAGCCTATTTTGGTAATAAAAAATACATATATTATATTATCATACAAAAGATAAACTTTGTTACAAAATTTTTCATCAATACTATAATTACTGAATACAGTTATTATTTGAATAAATACACATTTAAAGAAGTAAATAGGTAATCTGCAATCGGAAATCATGTTAGATTCTTATTAGAATTTATAATATAATCTTTTATGGATTCTTGCAATGTCATTTTGATAAAAAAAATAGTATCAAATTTTCGCGCTACCAAGTTTTAGAAAGAAATAAGTTTGATAAAATTAACTTTTCATAGAATTGGGTATTTAACAGACACTTAAATCACTTTGAAATTAGAATATTGAATGGTTCTCATAAAATTTTGGTGGTTCAATGAAAACAGTTTTTCCGACGAAGGAACAAAGTCCAAATTAACTGCGACTTAAGTTCGTCGTAAGGTGTTTATGGTTATAACAAGGTTTAATGATTCCAACCTCGAATAAATCTTTTGTAACACGACTCTAATTACTTATGTACGCAATACAACATTAATAAGAATGTGCTTTTGTTTTTAAGATACTATTGTCATAATTAGCTACAAAAGTGACTATTTAGCATAATTACAAATAGCAATACAACATAACTACAAATCAGAAAGACCGAATTATTAAGGTAATTAATGCTCACTAATTAGTAACATTATGACTTACAATTTAGAAAGAACAAAAAGTTTAACGTGTACTGACCTTTTTCGTCTAACTGGAGTTGAGTTTTAACATATTCGGTTGGGAATGTAATACAAATTTCAATGCCACCAGTTATTCCTCCGGCTACAACGCCTTTTAACCCGACGGATCCTGCACCTCCCGCCGCAGCCGCTGCTCCTGTTTCAGTCATCCATGGTCTTGAAAAAGGATTTTTGAAGTTTCCTGCCTTTGTAGACATTTTACTAAGAATTCGGCACTGGTCGCAAAAACGACTGCGGCGCGGTGAGCAACACTCCCCCTGACAACAAAATCCTAACTGAAGAAAAAAAAATTAATGAATGTTTGTTTCATTCATTCTTCATTCTTTGTAATTTCCTACATCATGTTCATTCGCATTGGTCATTCAGAATCCTCATTCATATTGCATGCAGTTTGATTCTTTGGTCAGGGTGAGGGTTGCAAATTAGGGAAAGGTTTTACGCTTTTAAGCGTCCCAGGCTTAATATTGTAAATGTGTGCTATTCAAATTATTTCTGTTTATAAGTTTAGTAATTCTGTATTTCGTAACAAATCTTAAGTTTTAGCAGTCGCATGGAATTTTTTATCTATAATTTACACTTGTCTATGTTTTTCGATGACGTTTGTTTATGCTTGTTTCGGTTTCGTTTTGTGTTTCGTTTTCGGCGTCTAGATTCCAATCTCTATTTTGTGTTCAATTTGATTTCTTATTAATTTGTAATTTATCCATAGGAGTAGTATTACAAAATCATAATAATGGCTCTCCGAACATACGGCGATAAGCCGATTAGTTTTCAAATCGAAGAAGGTGGAGATTTTTATTGTGTCGGATCAGAGGTACATACGTTATTTATGTATTCATTATGCTTTATTTTTAAAAACATTATATTTATTCTATCTTAAACATGTTATAAATCTAGATATTTAATAGATTAATGTAGTGCTTATTCAAACGTAATTAAAATAACCTCAATAAAATAGTTTGGTCCTTTTTAGTATGGAATATTGGCTTATGCTCAAAGTATAACAGTTTAGTTTAATGTTTAAATACATTTGAATGGTATTTCAAACAGGTTGGTAACTATCTGCGGCTGTTCCGTGGATCTCTTTATAAAAAGTACCCTGGCATGGCCAGGAGGACTCTCACTAATGAAGAGAGAAAGCGATTGATTGACAATGGTCTAGGACCTCACGTACTCTCCAGCTCTGTTTCATTACTAAAAGCTTCTGAAGTTGAAGATATTATTGAAGGAAATGATGATAAGTAAGTATGAATGAAATTGTAACTAAAAAGTAAAGTTATAAGAATGTTTTTTATGATTATTATATAAAGTAGTTATTATAAATAGATAAGACTTGAATGTTGTTTGTAATGTAAAAAAAAAAATTACATCAATACTTGGTTTGGTCAAATTCCTTGTGGCATTATGTCCTGATGTTATAATTAAAGTTCTAGTCTTCTATTCCGATAAAATTGAAATTGTTTCTCTTATGAACTTTTTCTAAACTTTTAAGGTACAAAGCTATATCAGTAAGTCAGGAGTTAGCCACCCCTAGAGAAAGCAAGAGTAAGAAGCCACACAATCCATCATGGCTCCCAGTTATGCCAAACTCCTCACATTTAGATGCGGTACCTCAAGCAACACAGATCAGCAGAACTAGAGTTCATAATAAAAAGGTAGGATTATTTTTACAGACAGATTTACCAGGGTATGTAATTGATTGATTGATAAATGAGAAACCATTACAAGTATGAGTCATTTCACAGGAGAAATTTGAGTTAGAGAGAAACCTCTATATGCGAGAAAAATATTACAATCCCTTGGGCACTCTATTATCTGGCTCAGACAATATTTATTCAGATTAATATCACAATATTGGGTACTAAAATAGGAAATGCAATGATATAAACACATTTTTGGCCACCAATTGAGTTATCAAGTACACTTTCATAAAAAAAATTATTATAATACTGTATATACATATAAGTGAACGAGGAATAAGTCAATTAAAATAAGTTACATTACTTACCCCTCTATTTTGTTCTTTGTATTAAAATATGTAAAATAACATTTTTTTAAATGTTTAACAGGTTCGCACATTCCCGTTGTGCTTTGATGACACAGATATGACGGCCATGTTGGAGAATGCATCACAGAAGCAGATCCTAGTACCAATACGTCTTGATATGGAGATTGAAGGCCAGAAGCTAAGAGATACATTTACATGGAATAAAAACGGTTATTATTTTATCATATTTACTTCATATAACATTTATCAGACATTTGTATGGTAAAGGGTAACATTGTGATACAATATGCACATATCTGTGAAGAATTTCAAATATATGTTTGAAGTCAATCCGTTCTGGACCTGGTTGACTGGCCTTATCACCCCTAACTTAGAGTAGTCTCCGAGCCCTGCAGTGGGGTCATATAGTGATCTGATGATGTCGGTTAAGCGTAACATAGTTGATTAGCTGTCTTTATTATTATATCAGCGGTGAACTTCGATGCTTGAGTAATATATATATTTAAATATTTTTTTGTTTTGGTGCACACACATAATATCTGAAGTATTTATAGTATAAAACACTTTTATATCTTTACAGAATCAATAATAACACCGGAACAATTTGCGGAGGTTCTTTGTGATGATTTGGAACTGAACACTGTTACATTCATACCGGCCATAGCATCATCCATCCGTCAACAGATTGATGCATTCCCCAATGAACCTCCTGCTATACTGGAGGAGCAAAGTGACCAAAGAGTCATTATTAAACTTAATATCCATGTTGGGAATACTTCGTTAGTTGATCAGGTAAGTTTTTGTTTCAAATTTTGACCTTAAGTCCACCAAGAATTGAGTTCATTTCAGCAGCTTTTTTCTATCTCTTTCTATAAATAAACAAACAATTTTGGTATTAAATTGTCATTGCTTTTTACAAACTAAGTAATTACTAAACATAAGTCTGTATGCACAGTAATTACTAAACATAAGTCTGTATGCTAAACCAAATATTAACCCTTTTTAAATTACTTATTATCAATATCATTCTAACTGCTTGTAGGCTTGTTAAAACATGTTCCGTGCTACTATTATTCATATTACTGTTTTAAATGTTGCATTGAATGTATTAATATTTACTTTCAGGTTGAATGGGATATGTCTGAGAAAGAGAATAACCCTGAACAATTTGCGATGAAACTTTGTGCAGAGTTGGGTTTAGGAGGGGAGTTTGTGACAGGCATAGCTTACAGTGTGCGGGGACAGTTGGGATGGCATCAGAGGACTTATGCGTTCAGTGAAGCACCATTGCCGGTTGTTGAGGTACGTTGCGTTTCCACTGTCGAAACACTGATACACATTCTCATTTATGACTCACTGATTATGACTGGATCAATTTTGACAATACACTTTTTGGAAACTAGCTTAGGTGTGTTAGAGTAACTTACAAAACTTTTTTTTATTTATCCTGCGCTGTCAAAGTTGCGAACGACTTATAGTAGTTATATATTTTTAGACGAATTATGTGGATAACACATACTGTTCAATTTCGTTTAAGAATGTAAGAAGACGTGTATTAAATTCGTACTAGAGTCATGGCAGTCAAGACCCACTGACAACCCAAACCAATAATTATTTTAGTAGCATTTCCAATAACTATTTTAACATTTTTCCAGACACCATATCGGCAACCATCTGAAGCAGATCAATGGGCTCCGTACTTAGAGACTCTGACAAATGCAGAAATGGAAAAGAAGATACGAGATCAAGATAGAAATACACGCAGAATGCGACGTCTGGCTAACACAACACCGGGTTGGTAAATATGCACTACGATGGGTTTATTTATAGTGTTAATATTATTTTGTTGCTTATAAAATTGATACAAATATATCGACAAATACAATGAAAAGAGTTACATCTTTTAATAGATCTCATAAGAGAACTTTATGAAAAGAGTTGTATTTTTTAAAATGCCTCATATCACTTTTAAACTTTTTTAACTATGCTATACATTTGGGAAATGTATTTGACGAAACCCTAGATTCTAGGTTTGATTATTCTAGGGCCTAGAATTTATAATCATTTTCTCGAGTCCTAAATTTTTGTATGTACTTAATATTAAACTTTTGATGGATTTTTCTATGCAATTTTATGGTATCCCTTTTTATTTATGCGTAATTTTCGCGTTTTCTTGATAAAGGTATGATAACAGAACCCCGGAGGTTAACTCAAGGAAATTACATCTCTTAAGAGATCTCATAAGAGATGTAACTCTTTTCGTTACATGGGTCAAAATCGTTTTTAACATAAAAGGATAGGCAAAATAAGGTCAAAGCAATGTCAACATTTTAATCAAATGTCATTGTTTAAAAGATTTATTACACCTAATAAACCTTTTTATTTAATTAGATTTTTATGACAAATATCTGCCATTTTAAAAATAATCTACCAAAATATGCCCATTGTTTTATGAACGCGGGACATACGAACATTGATTTTTATTTTTTATATATAGATATAGATTATGTATAACGCGACTGTACTTTTAATGATATTTTAATGAAATTAATAATGGAATAATTTTGCTCATCGATTTTCGTATATAGGTTTTGGTTTGGAAATTTTATTTTTGGTTATTATTGATTTAGGGAAAATAATTATTACTAGTGATTTAAATTGTTATATAATATTACGATAAAAATATAATTATTTTAAATACTCTTTTGGTTACTTCTTTTATAAAAAAATAGTTTAAATTACATCTTTTTTATTATCTTTTATGTATGCAGTTAACCGTGGGTTTTTGGGATGAAAATCTCTGTATAAAATATATCGTCATCCCTGTCATTATATTTGACAAAACAGAGATAACAATCTGTTTTAAATCGAGAGTTTGGTCTCGGAAACCCACAGTATGTTAAATATTTATTAATTGAACTTATTATGACAAATGTCAGTCATATTTCATATATAGTATTATTTTAGTATTTTTTATTTAATATTTCTATGTATTTTATGTACTTAAAATGTATTTTGTGTCTTAGTTTGTAGTTTTGGACTTTATTAATGTATTAAAACCTCTTTTTATTATTTTTAATTATTTAAATTAATTTATTTTGATTTAAAAAACTTAATGTCGTGCATAATTCTTTATGACGAATGACTGTTTGTTTTTTGTTATTTTTTATTAAATGTGTTCAATGATATAAGTACAATTATTTAAGTGTATTTTTAGTTAATTTGTTAAGCTTGCATGAAAAAATAATCACAATTATGGGAAATATTTTATTTTACTTTATTTATTTTTAAAAAACTATTTTTCATATAACCTTTTTCGACCAAATAAACTTAAAAAGGTTCGTTTAAGTTAGATATTCAGCCAGTTGCACTACATAATTTTGGGATGTAGTTTTTGGATGTTAACAAAAAAAAGTATCGTAAATGTAGTATTAATAAAAGGACGACGTTTTTCTTTTGGTCTTACAATGTGTATACGGGTTAGGAATAGATTTTTAGACTGTTTTGTAGGTTAAAAGTAGAAAGAAAATATATGAAGTTAATGTTTAGGTACTGATTACGATATATTTATTTTTTCATGCATGTCTCAAACAACAGAAGTAGTAAAAAGTAAGTGGACTGTTAAATTTTTATCACATTAAAAATAAATGTTTTTTTTTCTTCAAAATTCTCAACTTTTGTTTCATTTTAGTAACAACTCGTAAATAATTAACTTTTTTTTGGCTCGCAGCGGGTGATTAAATTGACGCAATCTGCTTACGGTTTTATTTTTTAACGACAATACTTTGTGATTTGAAAATTTTTATTTACATAGTTTTTTTAACAGAAAGGGTTCTCAAAATACTTTAAAAATATATATACAACGTATTTGTACGAATTCCGAAATATTTTATTTAATTTGTATAATATTCTTAAAAAAATCCTAGAGTAAAAAAAATATTAAGATTTTTTAAAAATCTCTTTTTAAATGACAAAGTATTGTCGATTTTGGTAGTTTTTATATTAATATTGTAAAACGGCAACACTGGATCGGGCTTAGTTCTGATGATGTACTTTTTGGTGACAGATGTGTCGTTGAGCCGGGCCGTCAACCGGCTGATCCGTGCCGACGAGGCCCTCTTCCAGAACACGCCAGAAAAGAGGAGGAAAAAAATTTAATCGCCCAACGCTTGCCGACAACATATATTCCTGCTTCATTATATCATAAGGGTTTTTATGTTAGATATCACTAGTTCTAGTAGTAGAAATATAAAAAAAAACTAGTGCACAAAAAAATATAGAAGTTTTCAAACTTATTGGTGGCTCGGAATATCGTATGAGTCGCTGCGTAGAATACAATGTTAAGTGTAATTGGGATGCAGGGAGAGAGCACTGCGCATTTTGCGGTGACCTTGAGCCGCCAAGATATTTGAAACGTCCAATACTTATGACGTCTCAGTGTATAAAACGAGATATTTTTAACCGACTTCAAAATGAAGAAGGTTTTCTATACGCCTATATGTTTTTTTTGCTCTACCTGAATAATGTGCACGTATTATATATACTACCTGAAAGTTATTACCATAGACTTCGTACACAAGGCAACGTAAATCGTCGAAACTAATATTGTTGCGTGACCTGACTCATCTCTCCCGCCACATAGCGACTACATGTCAACTGTATAGATTTGCTCCGCCATCTTGAAAATTGCAGCGACTATTCTCATGACGATTTTGACAAACCGGTTGCGATGCGATTTAAAAACGGCTAAACACTAACGCTTTTTATATCAGTTTATTATGTCTCATTAAAGTTTAAATAATTTGCGAATGCGAATAATGAAAGATTGCGATCCTTTGGCGATGACAGATAGAAATGTGTACGAATCTTTATGACATTATTGCGTAACTAGCGACTAACATTGGATTTCGAAGATTTACGTTGCTTTAAACCTTAATTCTATGGTGTCCAGTGTGACGAACAACTAATTAAAAAAATACTAAACTAGTTTAGAGAAAATTACGTAAGTATGACTTTACTAAAAAAAAACAGTTTTTTGGTACAAAAAATTTCGTCAAATTAAGGGTTAAGTGTGAAAGGTCTTAGAGTCTACTGTCAGCGTTTCGCTGCGGCGATTACGCGTTGCCGACGGGTAAACACCTCGGTGGATTCTGCCAGGTTGGTCTTATGCTCTTTTACATTCAATGCTCTGATGATGTAATTTTAATATGCATATTAAAAATATATAAATCTGCTACTTTCTTGTAACTTGTGGTTAGTAGTTGAGAAATTAGAATTTTTCTAATGATAAATGTAAGTGTATAACATTTTCTAGGTATAAGTTTATTGATCTGTTTAAATATAAGGTTCCGTTTCTGAAAGCCTCCTGCAAAAAATAATTTTTCTGTCATTTTCTATGATAAAATGTCAGAGTTTAGTTTTTGTTATTTTGGCCAAGGTAAACCAATGGTATAAGATGGTTTTTGCTTATTTAGATTTTTTCCATTGCATCAATTGGCCTAATGAAAAAAAATCCTATTGGGCTTAGCGAAACACTCTCTAAATTTAGATTTTTTCTGTTTTAACTTTTTTTTTATTTTGTATTTTCTACATTGTCTTAAATTCCTGGTATAGGAGTATGCATTCTTTTGTACTTGATGATACTAGATGTTGCAAAATTTTCTTAAAAAAAGAAAAAAAAATTGTTTTTTAATAAATAGTAGTGCGCGGTTCAAATTCCAATTTCTAGATTTACTATTTCTTATAAATTTATTATAGATTAAAAAAATATATGTAACTTTTATGGGAAATAAATGTATTACTTTTTAAAATTGTCGTATTTTTTCCTTATTCCTGGCGATATTATGATGAGAATAAAACTATACGTTTTGCAATAGTTATGCATAAATTTGTGGGTGTGGCAGTGCCCCAGCCGAGGTGAGTATGGTCGATCTATTGTGAGGCTTTTCAAAATCAGCACTGGAACGTAAACACTAACTGGCGCCAATGAGTCCATTCCAGGCCAGAGCCACTGTCCTATTGTATTGGCATAATGTAAATCAGGCAATATCTATATTAATATTATAAAGAGGATTGATTGAGATAGGAAGCTACAGTTATCTCTAATGTGAATAGTAGAGGCTATATTTATTACTAGATTTTTTTTTATTTTAACCAGGCGAAGTCGCGTGCAATTGCTATTATAAAATTCAATAAAAAAGATCGTAAACTAATGTTCTTTATTTAAAACTAAAAGATTTTTCTTTTTAATTTTTAGGAAAAGCGACATCTACAGTATAGAATGGTAACTACTGATAAGAATAGTATAAATGTTATAACTGGATTGTCTTTTGTTTAATAAATAGTATTCGATATTTTCGAGCGACTTTTATTTTGGTGCCGGTTCCTTTTAATTAATACTTCGTGATTAAGAAATAAAATAATAACTTTAAAAACAGTATGTTGCGTTATATCCTTGGAAATTATTTATAATTCAAATCAGCGTAAATAATAGAAATCTGTTAAAATTTGAAAGTAACGTTTAAAAACATTATTATAACTTGAAGGTACTATAAAATTTCAAACAATTTCTTATGGAAAGTAATTTCTTAATAACCATATTTATATTGTAGAACAAAGGTCGTTTAAATTCGACTTATTTTTTAAGATTATTATAACCAGTCTTAGGAGATGCATAAATAGTGCCGTATAAGATTTATAGTCTCTCTTAAGACGTTAAGATGTGCCGATTTAAGTTTTCTTGTGAAAAACATTTTCTACGCATGCGTCAAATCCACCAATGTTGTGATGCAGACTTGGCCCTTCCAGAGCTAGTGATGTCTGCATATCGATAGTTAAATGTCGATAAGATATTTATAAAAGAATTGTTGGATGATAATTTAATATTTTATTTTAAATAAATTTATATGCAGATCAAATTAAAAGATAGAATATTGTTCGATGTAGATTTTATTTGATTGAATTATTAAAATGTTATGACTAATTTTTAAATGAAAGTCAATTATAAATCAAATTTTAAAAACAAAAATAAAATTATAACCTAGAAAAGTCTTTCACTTGGATCTATAATAATATTTTTTTATAAACAGTAGTAAATCTTTTAATCATATCAAGTGTTGTGAGTGAAAGTAAATAAATAAAAAAAGGAATTCCAATTTTTTTCTAATAAAGTTATAATAGACAATAAAATCGACGTGTTTCACGGCCCTAATGGTGGATTTTCGCAGTTCAGTGCGATAAAATGTTCTTTGAAGGCGGCAGCAAGCGCGCCTTCTCCGCGAACCCCGCCAACGCGTATTTTAAAAATGCAACCTTAAAATTTTGTCCTGTGCAATATTCGGATAAGTGTAAATTTTTTTTGTTTAATTGTTACGTAAATTGACTTAATATCGTGTAATTAATTAAAAAAAGTGTTTGTGCAAATTTCAAAGATGTTAATTTATTTAATTTTGTGTTTGTGGAAAGTTTTGGATTTTAATTTTTTCGCAGCTGACTTTAAGGTAAGATTATAAAGTCTTTTTATAATTTAGTCTTTTTTAATTAAGTTCAAATAGTATATTTATTTATTAATATCATAGATTGAAATACATTCTGATTAATTTTGTCGATTGGAAGACAAATGTCATTATTTTTACACGGTATGTTTTAAATCAGTAATTAGTAAAATTAATGTTTTATACTTATAAATAATTTTGTCTATATTGAAGAATGTGATTATATTACTGAATAATTTTATGTATGTACGTTGATAATTATCAAATTGCGTTGTAATTAGCAACTGTCTTAAAAATTGACATGCCATTGACTTCTTGCTGGCGACTAGTGTTTAATATTGGATGTTTTTTTGCAAAAAGAATTAACTGCAATTGTTCTCTTACAAACTGCATAAGTTGTGCCTCTTTTATGTTTGATAAAGGTTGGATTAAAGACACGGAGTCGAGTTAAAGATTTTACAAAGATGGATTGGACATTTCGGTTCTGTATGCCTTATATTTTGATCTAGAATCTGAACAGCTTCATCGTGTTTGAAGATCGAGGTGTCGTTCCAATTTGTATTTTATTGGAAGTCAGAAATAAAAGAAATATTTTCACCAAAACGACTACACATTTTCGCTACATATATTTCTATCTTAATAATATAATTGCGAATATTTAGATGGATGTTTGTTTGAAGGTATCTCCAAAACGACTGAACGGATCTTGATGAAATTTGCCATATGTATAATAGTCTGGAATAACACATAGGCTACTAATTATGTTTGTTTTTTACTCCGCAAGGATGAAGTGGCGGGTGACATCCAGTTTTGCTATATTCCTCCATTAATCTTTTCGATATGCTAAAATCGAAGCGTAACAAACATAACTTTGTCTGTGTTCAAACATTTATTAAAACTTAATCTCAATTAAGATTGGAAGCTTCGGTTTGAATAATTAAATTTATCATCTATCCGAGTCAAAGTTTGAGAGCTGGCCAAATAATGTAGTAAGCCTACATTGATTGGTTACATCCGTCTTACTTAAACGATGGATTTACCAAATTGGTCTTTGGTTTATTAGTCGACCTAAAATCAATGGTAGAAATTGTGTTCTGATATTATACAATTAATTTTCAAAGTAATTTAATATGGTCTTCTTAGATTAGAAATATAATATAACTAATTAGTTTATTTCTCACAAATAAATGCTATTTTCGTTTGCTGGAAATAATATAGTTTTTTATGTTGGCAGCACTAAGTGGATTTTGTAAATCAAAGAAGGTTAAGTAGTTAATGCCTAAAAAAATATAGCAATTAATATCTGAATCAATCATGCATACAAAAGACGTCAATTTTTTTCCATAATATTTCAGCATGGTGACCTATTTGGCACATTTGCGGCTTCTTTTCTCGCGGGCGGTTAATTTTGTATTCTTAAATGGAGAGCTTTTTCTATTGAAGACCGCAGTAATTTTTCTTGTATGTAAAATAAAATACAGGATGTATTCATTTTTACAATGCCATTCGAATTCATGAATATTATTTGAGGTTATTCATCGATGTCATTTTTTTTTCATATTCTTGGCAAAGATTAAGCAGCGCTTTAAATATTTTTTTCTTTCTGATCCCGAAATTGAAATTTGATTATTCATTTCGTCTTCAAACGTCAATAAGAATTTAATTATAATATTAATAATATAAATAATTAACATTTCCAATTTTGTTTTTTCGCATTTTTAATGTGTTCGATAAAGGTTTGATCTCTATTCTAGGACGTACTATTTGATACCCAAGCTTTTAACACGTAACGTTCGAAAATCGTATTGACAATAGTATTGGTTACAAAGAGTAATGAGAGGTCTTGGATGTAGTGTTACATAACGGAGGCGAGTTTACGTCTAGGGCTGTCAACTCAATTAACCCACGGCGAAATAACAAACAAAGGACCACTTGCCAACCCTTCATTCTTTGGATAACGAAAAATATACGCTAGTCGTTGTCTTTGATAGACAACCTCTTAACATATACATCATGTAAACTGGAATTTTACTCAAACTTGAAGAAGTGGCAACCCTACATGTAGCTAGGGTTGCCGCATAACAGTCGATGCTACATTAAGTTTTGGCAGTGTTTGATGTTTAGTTATTGTTATTTATGACTTCAACGATAGTGGGATTCCTCGTTACTTTTTTTTTGCACGTGTTCGTTTTTCTTCTCATGTATCTTTAAATTACTTTAATTTAAAATAATCATCTATATCAAATTTGACTAATTAATCTCCTTGCTCCTTTCAGAAACTATTTTAGTTCTTGTTTCCTTTAAATGGGATGTTGTTGGAATAATTTTGCGTTATTTAGACCACGTACTGAAATTCCCGTTGACATCGTAGACTTTGGTAAATCTAACAAAAGAGCTATAAATAGAAACAAAGATATATAAACTGTTAGGTTATGCTATTTAAGTTTTGAATCTTGTCTCAATATCGACTAACTTTATTAAAACTTTAGC